TTAGAGGGAAGATGGGTTTTCTGAGTGGGGTCCAGTGACTGACGTGCGGGGCAAGGTTGGACATAGACAGGGACGGAGTCCAGTGGGTTTTCCAGTGACTGAAACACAACATAATGAAGTCGAACGTAGACAAGTCTGACATACGGAGTCCAGCAGGAATTCTGTTAAATTGACAATGGGTGTGTATAAGTTAGTGCCCGGAGTCCAGCAGGATTTCCAGTTGTAACAGGTAGGGAAGGAGAGGGTGGGGATGGTGGGCCAGTTATGCTTTCCGGAAAGCATCAGAGGTGGCAATGAACTCAGCTAGGGCTTCAAGGCCCTTGTGGGTGCCGAGGATAATGGGGAATGATATGTCTTGAGAGGGTGTGTGGAGGGTGTGGTGGTGTTCCTTGTGAAGGGGGCACTCAGAAAGGATGTGGAGGCAGGACTGGATGTGTTCTGTGCCACAGGGGCAGAAGGTGGGGAGGTCAGGGAGGAAACGTTGGTAGTAGGCTCCGAAGAAGCCATGGCCCAAGATGGCCTGATGACACATGTGTGGATGTAGCCAGGAAGGAATGCAGTGATGCAGACCCAATACGGGTACTGTGGGGCTCCACGCCAAGTGCAATACCCACTAAAACTCCCTGGTGGCTTTGTGGGATTTTAACCCACTACCTGAACAAGTGGTCAGCATAACACAAGACCAGGATTGATGACACATGCCACTTAGCTGTCACACCCCTCTCTTGTTTGATATGAACCTGACATGTCTGAGACCATGGATCCAAGTGACATCTGACCACAGTTGTTTCAGCCTGCCCTTTCGACCACAGCTGAGTTTTGAACTGTGATTGTGGATACTATTCCTGAGATCACTACACTTTTGCATCACTGGGACAAATCCTTACCCAGCTTCAACCCTTAGAGTGTGTGAAGGGAAATTGCTCTCACAGGTGGTCATTACTCTCCATGTGTATGGTAAGTGTGCTGACTCAGGTTTCAGGACAAATTTCAAACCGCCATTGCCATTTCCGACATTGTCATACTTTTGAAGGACACTGACGACTCCTTTCAGTACAATGGAGTATCGGCACTGGTCAAGCTTTCAGAATGAGGTGGGATGTCTCTTAATGGGATTGGAATCCAGCTGACAATTGATCACAGCTGATTTTACCATATTTGACACATAGTAGGTCTATGAAAAAATGCATACACTACATTATGAAATTTTCTGTTCATCCAAAAAGACCTAGCACCATTACCACTGGTGGCATCACTATTGGCATTGGTGCAGTTACCTAGTACTACAATGGTTATTTAGGTTGAGTATCACTGACAGCCACCTCTGAAGTTGTATTTATATTGGGCATGGTTGTAGTGTTATGTGAATGAAAAATAAATTATTAAACATCACTAATACACTGTTATTCACCTTTTGGCCGGAAGGCATCTTCCTTATGCTCCCTTGGGGGTAAGGTACCTCTCTTATTCTATCCTTGGCAGTAAGGTATCTTCCTTATTGTAAGCCTGGCCACCTTACCACATACATCATCATCACCAACCTCTCTGTAGTGCCCTTGTGCCTGATCATGCGGTTCTTTGTTCTCCCACCACATTCACCTTGACAATATAAAAAACCCATATCCTATAGTGATAGAATCAATCTTCTCATCAACCATTAATCCTTTCCCCACTCTTCCCTAGGGAACCTCGCATTCACCTTGTATTTTACTGATATTTAAAAATAAAGAAAACTTAGTCCTGACCATGTTGACCGAGTGAGGCTGATACCGACAGCCTTACACTTATACTCCCCTCAGCTGTGAGGTATTTTCATTACACTCCTTACATCCACATCTATTTCCTTGGGGTAAGTGGCATTCCAGGACTTTTCAAGGTAGTTTTAAGATCCAAAGTCCTTGCCGCAAGCCAGTCAACCTTACCAAAATTTCCCTTAAATCTACTTAAACATTTTTCAAGTGCATTCAAGGTATATAAGGACAGAAAACATTTTCCTGATGCAATGCAGACATCAGACCTTTTCATATCTTCTTGGATATAAAGATTGATAGTCCCCCATTGTGTTCCGGAAGTGGCGTCTAAGCCTGCTTCTAAGCCTTTGGCTTCACCATTCGCCGCATCCCATGTTTCGTTTCAAGTGCCCAATCATTGGCTATCAACCAGTGAAGCTTAACGCCGTGCTAGACGGGCATCGCGCCACATTCGTTGCATACAACCCTTTTTTTTTTTTTGACAACTGTAGGGATTTCAGCTATCATTGTATCTTTTAAATTGCTATAATGTGATAGAAGATGATTTCATGAAATACTACCACCTGAACATCCTCATAACTTGGAAAATACAACAACAAAAAATTCCGCAAGATACCCCAACAAACCATGAGCAGCCGAAAGTACAGATGATGCAATCCCTAAATCTCTGCAGCTCCCGTATACCCTGTAGATCCCTCGGATCCGACAGGAACATGTCCAAAATTATTTAGCGCATTTTCACCATGCGAACCCGTCGCTGTTGGACTTGATATGATCATCGAGACACTAGGCACAGGTCTCGGAGGGAACGTGGAAGGATCATCTGGATTCTGGGATGGGCGGAGGTTGTGAGTAGAGAATAGGAACACCCGCAAAAAATTCAGTATTCGTATAATACTTACATAAAGCTTAGGTTGAACACCTTGTCCCAGGAGGGGTAGATTGCTTGCAACCGTCGTGGTAGGACTCGAAACGAGATCTACTCTTTCATTCACAAATCTCGCTTTGGGTATTTCTTCTACTGCTTGTTGTTTGCGATTACGGCGACGGTAGAAAAGAATTCCTCCTAGGATTAGCATAGCTGTAACGATAATTCCACCAACCACGCCGCCTGCAATAGCACCCGTGTGGGAGACTGATTGGGATGATGGTGCGCTTGTACCCGTCGATGACGCGGCTGTTGCGGATGAGGAGATGGTGCCTGTGGCTGTGGAAAGTCCCGTTGAGTCTGGGAGGTCTGTATATCGATCTAGCTGGTCAGGAAAGAGAGGAAAAATAAACGTGGCACGCACTAGAACTCGCCGCGGCATTCGCCGCGTCTGAGTTCCATGTGTCCGATACCTGTAAGGTATGAGTAGGAAAATCAGGGGGAATGTATGGGAAAAGCTTTACGGTCACGTCCAGGTAGGCCCAGGCCGGGACGGCAGCACTCGATAAAATGGTGATGGGATAGCTATATCCCGCAGCAAGGGATGATGAGCATGAAGCATTGAAACAATAATAAAAGAGTCCATACCCAGAAATGGTGATATCGGTCGCGGAACAGTTTGTCTTCCACGAAGACCACCTGACGTTCCATATAAACAAGCAACAAGATGAACTAAGAGTGTAATGTGTCAACCTTGAAAACGAGTTTCCTTGACATGCAGTACAAGCTGACACAACTGAATACGTGACAGTACTGCACAGGCATTTATTAGATACTACTGGCGAGTTGTACGTGTTACCTGGGGGAAGTGCTGGCGTAGTCCATTCTAGACACATTTGAGTAAAATGACAGGTCAGCACGGGAAGCGCGTACTTCCCCCATTGCATGCTCCTTGGAGGCTAGCAGCAACTAATCTTGAAATAAATTATATACCAACTGGCGCATGGTGTGGAGAGAACGCGCCTAGGCATGGACTTTGGTCCGCTTTGTTGTATGTCTAACATATTCAAATACCAACGGTGAATTAAATACGACCATTCAATATGAGAAAAGCGCTGACCCAAAAATCAGTGGTACAAGTCGCCGTGGTTATCTGGCCGGGTACAAGTCCTTTACCGAAGTTTACTTCCATAACTCACTAACAGAGGCCTACCTCTTGTGCTACGGAAACCCGCGCCAGCACATGCCATAAGAAGGTAGCATAAAACAGAACCATGAGGTGGTACAGAGCAAGAAGCGATGAGTAGACGCTTAATATGGGCAAAGAGGTCACTAGTGGTAGGCGTCTCGTGTCGGCTTCGTTTGACAGCCTGAGAAAACTGGCAAAAAAGCCGTGATGTTTGGGTTCTGAGATGCTATCTCTCTAACAGACACAATTTAGACATTGTGTGATTATATAACATGATTAAGGTTGGTGAGAATCTGGACAATAACATTTTCCTTGCAACATCGAGAATGGAAGAAAACGATAAAATTCATGGTTACGAAGAATTTTGAGATTACTCGGGTCAAATAATCAGGTCTGGAGCTACAAGTCATTTCGAGTGGTCAGTGAACGAAATTACACTAGAATGAATAACTTACCTGGCTATTCGACATGACAACCCGGTAAACTATGAAAGCTCTCGACGTTGTTGCACCGTTGACGCAAATGTTTTACAGAATATAAGCATGGGGAATGAGAATGGACCCTTGTTTATCAATGTTCTTGCTAGCTACACAGTTGGGATAAGTGCTTGTGTGATCTACAGGTTCTCCGTTACATGGTCACTCACCAGCAAACCTGTCCACGGTGCTCATCTAAGCAAACAAATGGCCAAGTAGACCTTAGCGTAAGATAGGGCGGGGATATTCGCCAAGAGTCAAAATATTTGTAAATGATTATCACTGATTAAATACTCGCAATCATATAAACAAATATTTTGTGTCGAAACAGCCCGACATTAAAAAAATGGGAAAATACAAAAATTAATTTCAAGGGCATGGTCATGATATGATAATGATTACGTCTATCCGATAGTCTCAAGAAGAAGCAACATCATGAATACTTGGGGAAGAATAGACCCAATGAAAAATGGGGGAGTTGTCGGGATATAGGACGGGTGTCTAGGCTAAGTACCGTCTAATCCCCAACTAATCCCTTATTGAGTTGTGCTGAATTACGCCATGTTTCCCGCATAGAAACATGGGGAAACATCCAACTGGTGATGACTAATCAGTAAACTATATATATATCGGCCCTCACAAACCAACACCTTAGTTATTCCATAGAGGTCCCAACTAGTAATGCTTGATATTACTGTAAAGGTATAGAAAATAATTGACCCAACCTGGGATTGAACCAAGGACCTCTTAGCTAATATATGCCAGTGCTCTAACCACTGAGCTACTGGACCTCATGGTCTAGTGTTATATGTGTTAGGACCAGGAAACCTGCTAGGCCTGTAAGCACTTATCTCTCTTTTTACAAGACAACCTATCAACTGGACTCTGACCAGATACCCCAAACCTCTTAGACACTTGAAGATCTTTGCACTGATCTGTTCCCATGAGTATGTTTCTGTTGCATCTCAGACTTTTCCTGGACTTTCATTAACCCCTGCCCATTTCTCATCTCCCATTCTGCCTGTTTGTTCATCCATTCCACCAGGATTGTAGTATGACTCATCTATAAAAACTAGACTAATTTGTATTTACAACTCAAATACAAAATCAACTAAGTTACCCCCATATCTTCCATCAGTTAAAATCTCTATTCATACCCCTGGAACCCATGAACCCTCTGCCTGAGAGTCTTTGGACCTCCCATCCCTCTTACCAACCACTCACTATCCTTTTCATCCTCTCTGACTCCCCAGGCCCCCCATTCACCCCATTTGAAATTTGATACAGCAATCTCATGAGGGTGCGGCATACAAGCTAAAGCCAAGTCCTACATACATACCAGACTATCCATGGGTTCCCCATTGGACCCTACTTGCAAGCCCAGAGCTTAACACTGATCAGAAAATCAACTTAGCACCAACCTGGTATTCTACTTATTTGTCATAACTGTACACCAGCATGTTCCCAGAACCTGTGGGCCTTCTGACCAAGACCTATGTTACAACCGTGTCGCAGCCCTATTGGTCCCCGAGGTTATCAACACCATTCGACGATTCCAAGTTACCATTCAAGTCATCACATCGGAAACCATCGGCCCTCGATGCTGATGTACGCTTTCGTGGTGATCAAACTCCGTTTACACCCATGTCAAAATATACTTGAACTATCTGGTTAAACTCTGATATGTCCCTTTTATTATGATCATCCACTCTATCCTATGTTTCACATATGTCTATATATATTTGTAACCCTCAAACTATTTCCTTTCTTCATAATTCCGCTCTCGGTTATTTCACGGCCTCCGAACTAATAGTAACCTCCCATTCCTAGTCAAGTTTATTTGTCAATACCGTGTTCCACTCTTCTCCCAGTTAGTATTTTCTAGATGCCTGTTACTTGTATATGAACCTGCTGTAGTTGTAGTTACTAGGCAATCAGAATATCAACTCAGAATACCCTCTTACAACTATAGAAATCTTGTACTAAGTATTCCACTTTCCGCCTTCACGTGCGCTCGCCCCCTCTCGGTCCCCGACCCCTTGGCCTGACACTCGACTTATCCCTCGATTCCGATTGGTAGTTCCACCAAGAGGTATTCATTAGGACTAGTCTTCGCCCGCCTGAAATTTAAGGACACCCAACGGATAACTGCGAGGGCGCAGCACACAAGCTGAAGCCAAGTCCTTCCGATCGGTTCCCATCGGTCCACCAACATTAGTCAGTTTTTAGTTCTTAACAGTATATTCTGATTTCACACTCGCACTTTCCATTAATCATGCCTCTGAGGAAAAAAGATGCCAAGCCAAGTGGCGAAGCAGAATCTTCCACTCTCAAGTCTCCTTTCCTGTATACAGCCCAAGCTACTCAGAGAACCCCGCAACCAGGAACCTCCAAAGAATCCCGCTTTGTGGAAATTGCCGGTGATGCTGAAGAAGTTACTGAAGCAACCGACCCTGAAGCACCTGAAGAGGATAACAATCAATCAGCTCCGGAACCTGAACCTGAGGATGGCGACCAACCCATACCTCAGGCCAGTGGTTCTAAGAAGTCCACAAAACAAAAACCAGATTTCGATCCCGACAAGACATGGGAATTGTTTTCAGGTACCCTAGGGTCCCTTAATGAATTCCTTAAAGCAATACCAAGGAAAAAGAACCTGGGCAAACCTGAGTCAACAAACCCAAACCGTTTACTGGCTCAAACCTGAAGAAATTGCCGACATTTCTTATGCAATGTCGATTCAACTTTCGGGACCGCCTGGCTGCATTTGCAACGGATGACCGAAAGGTAAATTTCGCACTCTCGTACCTTAAGGACTCTGCAGCAGCCTGGTTTGAACCCGCATTCTCTGGCCTCACCTCTGAAGATCCCGATTGGCTTCACGATTGGGATGCCTTTGTTGAGGAACTTGAAACAAACTTTGGTCCTTACGACCAAATCGGCGATGCCAAAACCGCACTTTCTAATCTCAAAATGAAAGACACCCAGTGCATCACCAATTACATCATCCAGTTCAACAATCTCGCTGCGTGTTGCAACTGGGGTGATTTGACCCTCTTTTACCAGTTTTACTCCGACCTCCCATCTCGCCTCAAAGATGAAGTTTCCAAAGGAGAGACCAGCAAACCAAAGACTCTCCCCCTCATGCGTCTAAAGGCCCAAAACACGGATGCCTGATACTGGGAACAATGTTCAGAAATTAGTCGTGAAAACCCATCAGACAAAAAATCATTGGACAATAAGAATGCTAACAAGTCTGGTAATCAAAACACCAACAATAGTGGCAACTCGAACTCCGATAAGAAGTCCGAAAACAAAGGGTCTAATGACAAAAAGGGCAAGGGCAAACAGTCGAATAAGTCTCAAGATAAAGACAAACCCGACTTAACTGGCAAACTCGGCTCTGATGGCAAGCTTTTACCACAGGAAAAGCAACACCAAATGGACAACAACCTTTGTTTGTTGTGCGCAGATCCCGGACACTGAGTCGCCGCATGCCCAAAGGCCACCAAAGCCCAATCGGCCAATACGGCGACGACCCCACAACCGGCTAAGCTGGCTGCCGAGTCGAAAAAAGATTAAGCAACTCTCTGGATTTTGTGCGGTTGGAGAGTTGCATTGAATCTCCTCGCACACTGGAAAATTGTCATCTTAACGCATCCGCCCTGTATGATCCTAATTCCTTGTTTATAAATCTTACTTCGGAACCCCTCGGAAATCTCACCTTTCGAGCCCTCATAGATTCAGGCTCAACCCATTGTTTATAGATACAAGTTTTTCCCAAAAAAAATCAGTTAAAAACCTATGCAATAGATCTGATTCCGCTCTGACTCTTCGATGGTACCTCAAACTCCGTAATCTTGCAAGCCTGTGAACTCCGACTTCGGTTCCCATGTGGAACCTTTCAGACAGTTACGTTTTTTGTAACACAGTTGGACCCGAGTTGCTCTGTGGTTCTAGGACATAACTGGCTCACCCACTACAATCTGTTGATTGATTGGGTATTGAGCAGTATCCATTTCCGAACATCGGCACCCGAGATGACTGGTCCGTTTCTGCCTGTTTCGGCAAATATGGCCTCTATGGCACCTCCAGCCCCCGTGGCAAATCTGAGCTCTCCGCCACACGTCTCTCTAATAAATGCCGCAGCTTTTATGAGAGCCATCAAGTTGGATGGCTCCCGAGCATTTACAGTCAACCTTAAAGTTGACGAAGTCACCGGTCATTTTGCAACCCCGGTGACCAAACCGATAGCAGATTTGGAAGGTGTTCCAGAAAAATACCATGAATTTGCAGATGTCTTCAGTAAACAAAAAGCTGATCGATTGGCCCCTCACAGGCCTTACAATTTGAAAATTGATATTGAAGATGGTTCACATCTGCCCCTAGGCCCAGTTTATCCTCTCTCACAGTCCGAGTTATTGGCTATTCGAGATTTCTTGGATGAAGATTTGGCTATAAGGTTTATCCAACCCTCAAAGTCTCCTTATGGAGCCCCTGTCCTATTTGTTCAGAAACAAGACAGTTCCCTTCGGCTTTGCATTGACTTTTGAGGATTAAATGCGATCACTCGAAAAGATAAGTACCCGTTACCACTAATCTCTGATTTACTCAATGCCCCTCGGAAGGCCCAAATCTATACAAAGATAGACCTCAAGCACACGTATCATTTGGTTCAGATCGCCAAAGGCGATGAATGGAAAACGGCTTTTCGCACTCGCTATGGCTCCTTTGAATGGTTAGTGATGCCCTTTGGCCTCACCAACGCTCCATCAGTCTTTCAACGTTTTATCAATGACGCCTTTTCCGACCTCCTCGACGTCTTTTCCGACCTCCTCGACGTCTTTTCCGACCTCCTCGACGTCTTTTCCGACCTCCTCGACGTCTTTTCCGACCTCCTCGACGTCTTTTCCGACCTCCTCGACGTCTTTTCCGACCTCCTCGACGTCTTTTCCGACCTCCTCGACGTCTTTTCCGACCTCCTCGACGTCTTTTCCGACCTCCTCGACGTCTTTTCCGACCTCCTCGATGTCTTTTCCGACCTCCTCGATGTCTTTGTCATTGTGTACTTAGACGACATTCTCATATTCTCCGAAGATCCTACACTTCATGATGAACATGTCCGTGAAGTTCTCTGAAGACTCCGAAAACATGGTCTTTTTGTGAATGGTAAAAAATGTTCTTTTGATGTCGACACAGTTGAATACTTAGGTTTTATGATGGGACCCGATGGTCTCCACATGGACAACTCTAAAATTCAAGTCATTCAAGATTGGCCAGAACCCTGAAAGCTTAAGGACATTCAGTCCTTTTTAGGCTTTGCCAATTTTTATCGTTGTTTCATTCACAACTACTCAAAAATTACTGTTCCACTCACTTGTCTTACTCGTAAAGACACCCCGTGGAATTTTTCTGAAGAATGCCGAACGGCATTCTGAGAATTGAAAAGTGCATTTACATCTGCTCCTATTTTGTCGCACTGGAAGCCTGACATTCAACTCATTGTGGAAACTGATGCCTCGGATTATGTGCTCGCTGCGATATTGTCCATTATGGACACCGATGGTGAAGTACACCCAGTAGCCTTTTTGTCTTGCACATTCTCAGCACCCGAACTCAATTATGATGTTCATGATAAGGAACTACTTGCAATATCTGAAGCTTTCAAGACATGGCAACATTATTTGGAGGGATCGGCTCACCCGATAGATGTTATTACCGACCACAAAAATTTAGTTTACTTTTCAACCACAAAACTCCTCACCTGTCGGCAAGCCCAATGGTCTGAATT